AAGTTAGTTTTGATGAAATAGGTAAACTTGTAATTAATGGTGACATTTATCATAATATTAATAAAGTTACTGATAATCAGCATTTACAAATATATTTTATAAATAGGAAGTGGCTGCCAAAGATAGCATTTAAATGAATATTTTAAAAAAATTAGAATCTTGTTTATCAACATGTACATTTTTCATTTATTTCCATTCTTTGTTTCTAAATTACCTGATGAAAATTTTTTAAATGCATTTTATTCACTAAAAGCACTTGTTGAGGAAAAAGAGGATGATAAAAATATTTCTTTCTTGCATAACTTCCTGAAATTAGTGACTCATTGTTCAGTTAAGTTTTTTTTTTTTTTTATTAGGATATGTTTCTTGGGGTTCTAGGATAAATGATTTAGAAAAGATTATCTGGAAATGGTTTATTTACTTAAGTCAAATGGTTTTATAAAGGATTAATGAAACTGCTTGGCAGAGCCAAGTTTTTATTTAAAAAAAAAGACAAGTTTTCTTTTTAAATGAAATAACATTTTATAAAAGATGTCAAAAGTTACATTCATATACAAGTTCTTTGCTTTTTCATATTCTGGATAATTACAAAAAGACCACATCTAAAATTACCAAATAAAATCTGATTAAATTTATTTAGTTTTAAAAATATAAAAAAAATTAAAAATATGTTCACATAAGTCATTAGGACTGTTTTTCACAAGTCATTCATTTTAACTTTTTTATATATAACCATGCTCATAGATGGTGGCTATAGAGGAAATGAATTGTATTTTTTCAGGGTAAAAGTTGGTTATTTTTAGAATAATTTCCTACTGCATCCACTCTTGTAAAATTTCCTCCCATATGTTTATGCCCATGTATAATGCAAAAATCATATATAAAGATTCAGAAAGCTTTTATAAAGTACTTTTGCCTTAAATTTTAAAAAAAAGTCATTAGTCTTTTCCCTTTGTTTATGTGGCAATATAATCATGTCATAATGATTTGTCATAACATGTAAAAAGAAGAAGAGGGTGTAATTTCAGTTGTTATGGAATTGATAACCACTTCTTATGATACACGTTAAGTTAAATTGTTTCTCTTCAAGAACAATTGAGTGTAACCTGAATAGATTATCATGATTTAGTTTATTTGATGAGAACAATAGTTTGAAATAATACATGAGTATTACCAATTACTCATCTCTAAATCAAATGCTAAATTATGAAAAGTGGTACAAACCCATCATCATAACCTAAAAGGTCAAAACCATCTGACATTGAATATGAAAGGCTTCAAAAACACATCACTGATGTCCTTTGGTGACATAGTGAATATATAGGAGTTGGTTAGACATGTGTTACTGCCATCTGGTGGTCATGAGTTCAATCCATGTATGAAGTAGTAAAGCAACAATTCAGCAAGAATGAACATATACAGAGAGCCATCCCGATTTCCTTTGTGTTCCATTGGGGTGTGGGGTAACAAGGAAGTTCTGTTTGGGCAGCTTCTTCCCAAAAGCCACTGCTTTGTGGTATAGACTCCTGAGAGGATGCTTCTCTAATCACTACAATCTTAGCTTCTTTAATTGTTGGATCAACTACTTTTAACAATCTCATTTAGTAACCCTCTACCTTGAGTGGCTCTTAGGCCTTGTGTTGGGTGAACAAAAAATTAAAATTAAATAAAAAAAAAATTAAAATTTTTTATGGAGAGAAAAAATGCAGTAAAAAAAACATTTGTGCATTGCTTGTTACTGTTTTGTATTTGAAACTCCATGTTTGTATAACATTCAATAAAAATATGGGCAAGCAACAAAGGTTGGAAGGGAGATAATGAGAAGAGAAAAAAACAGGAAATAATAGACAATCTTAGTTGTCAACACCACTGGAATACCTCATGGGGGGGCATCTAATGGGATACGGGAGTGGGGAAAGAATGAGAAGATACAGGCAAAGGGTTAGAGAAGAGCAGAGGGCTGAGATAAGGGATAATATTAGTTGCCAACACGGATTTCATGAGTCCAATTAGTTGATCATTAATCTGCCTGACTAACTTGTGTACTATTTTTTTTTTTTTTTTTTTTTTTTGATACATGTACTCTATGATATCGGCTTACTAAGCTTGGCTGAATCTGGCACAAGGCTACAAAAATAAGGCACTTAATACTGATTAAATTCAGAGTAGATTGCTGAACTATCTTGCTTATTGACTGACAATAGCAACCTCTTTTGTAGATAATTAGTATTGACTTGCTAACTGCAACTTTGAGACAAGCATACTAAACATTACTTTGTGAAAGCATTCTTTCTTTGGTAAAATTGATTTCACAGTTCCAAGACTGAATGTTGAGGGAAAACTTTGCTTTTCTTCTTGTCATTGATTTACCAATTACGAGATCTGCTGCAAACGTAGGGAGTCACTATTTTCTAGATTATAAGTATCAGACTGAATATTTTCCAAGAATACCAGTGTACTGATTGTTAAGAAAATGAGATTGTCACTTTCATTTCTTAATTGGGCAAGGCATATTTGTTTTGTAAGTAAGCATTCAAAGAATTGATTCTTTGATAATGACTAATATCCCTGGAAGTAAAATCATGCTTTCTTAATGTCTTATTCTTAAAATTCCACGTTGAGAGCAAAAGCTAGATTAAAACAGATTTTATTCATACATTAATGTATGACTCTTGGAGAGATGAGAAATATTGTGAAGTGTCAGTTTTCCATTTGGTGCAGGTGTAGTCTCATCTGATTTGAAAGTTAGCATTTGGAAATTAGTTTTTTTCTGTAGACACAGTGGTGGACTGAACATGGTGTCAGCTTGCCTGATGGCAAGTAGGCCCTCTATATCAAATAAAAATGTAATAAAGAAATATAGGCAACTGTTTTAGTAATAAAAAGGCGTAAGAACTTTATAAAGTTATCTGTACACTATCAGTTATTCAAGTCCAATGTGAGAGGACATTTACAAAGCTAAAAATCATAAAGACATGGTTAAGTAATTCATTCTCTCAGGAGAACCACACATGTTGCTATCCATTCAAAAGGAATTATTAAATGAATTGAGTACAGTAAGCAATTATTGGCCTATCTGCACAATCATTTAGTGAACACAAACAATTGCTCTTAATATAGTGAACTGTATGCAATGTTCTATTGTCCTTTTGAACTAACTGTTAAAGTGTAAATTGTGCAGTAAGCTATTTAAAAATATCAACCAATTACTTAAAATTAAAAAATAAAATAAAAATAATAACATGTCTGGTATCTACTGCCAGTAATATGTTCAGTTGTAATTAATAAGAAATACATATTTTTTTCCACAAAAATTTTAATTGTACCTCTTTTCCCATATGTATTTTTTGAAAATTTTATTTATTCATTAAATGATAGCAACCAATATTTTTAGACCCAGTATACTACTGTGTAGACATACTTGATGTGTACATCACTAGATATGTAACACACCCCTTGGAGTCAGTCAGTTATGTGCCATGTGTGATACACGCTTAGGCAATCATGTATCTTTTTATACATGACTGATGAGGCAGATTTTTCCCACAATAGGTTGCCATTTCTTTCTGCGGTAGACCAGTTGCCATCCAAATCTACAGAACTTGGTCTGTCCTGCTATTTACCCATAGCTGGGGAGAGAAGATGAGGATTCATACCTTTCCCAAGGGTATTAGCATGTAAGTAAATGTAATGGATTTGACTGGAATTTGAACTCTGCTCTCCGATTCCTCAATCCGAGCCACTATCCATTACTCCACCGTGCATCCCTTGGAGTATATATCTTTTTTTTCTTTTTCTTTTTTTAGGAGATAGGCAATCACAGCTCTCCACAGGTTCCTTTTCTTTATTATCCATGAATTGCCATGACATCTCAGGAAGGATAATGGAGTAATTTACCACTGTCTTCTCCACAGTTTGGAATTTAGTTTTCCTTCTATCAGACTGGTTACCACCCAAGGCTAAAAAGTCCAGTTTACCCTGCTATTTAGTCAATAGCTGGGAATAATAAAATATATTTTTTTTAAATACCATGTCCCTTTGGAACATAGCTGATCATGGCTCTCCAAAGCTTTCTTTTCTTTTTAATCTTGAGATTGCCATGCATTTTTGGGAAAGATAGTGGAAAGTTTTAAACCTCAATTGTAAGAAAACAGAATTCATAGTTGTCTATATGGCAGTGAATGCTGGATAATCTCCTCATAGATGAAGATATTTGAAACAACAGAAATGTGGTTCTACAGGAGGTTGCTGAGAATTCCATGGATTGAACATGTGAACAATGAGGAAGTTTTAAAGAAAATGAAAACAAAAAGGACAAAGAAATAGTTGCTGAAATTTCTAGGTTACATAATGAGGAAAAGAGGGCTTGGAAAATGTGATACTTACAGGAAGGGATAGAAAAAAAACAATGTGTAATGTGCCTCATGAGCTTAAGTAAATGGATGGCGGAACAAGGTTTAGGAGAGATAACAAAAAGACAAAATTTATTAAGAACTACAAAAGACAAGAAATTGTGGAGAGCCATGATTGTCAACATCTGAAGGGACACAGCACAGAAGAAGTAAAGTGATTTCCCATTACATTCTCCATGGTTTGGAATTTAGATTTTTTTTTTCTATCAGACTGGTTGCCACCAAATACTAAGAACACAGTTCACACTGATATTTAACCTATAGCTGTGGAGGGAGAACTGTTGGATTCATACCTTTTCCAATGGCATTAGTGCAAAGGTAAATGCAACAGACTAGGCTGGAACTTAACTCACTGATTCCATTTTCCATACTGATAAACTATTTGTTTTTACAGTTTACCAACCTATTGTAGATTGTTAAAATCTGAAACATATCTTGGATTGTAGGAAGTTACTTATAGTATCTAGGTGTTCTCAAGCAGTCACCCATCTGACTAGTCTTGATACTGCTCAACTCCAGTGATTGAATGAAAACTAGTGTTTTCACCGACATTACACTACAAGCACATCCATGCTAGATTGTTAGACTTACAGCCATATCACATTGAAATGCCAGTTCCTCTATGATCACCAAAGTTAAGCAACTTCGAGCCTGGTCAGTACCTAGATGGGTGACCACTTGGGAATATCTGGTGCTGTAAGCTTGGATATATAGGTAGTGTAATGGATAATGGCTCAGAATTCTTAATCAAAGCGTAGAGTTCCAATTTCTGTTACGTTCATTACATTCACTTACACACAAATACCTTTAGGAAAGGTATGAATCCATCTCTTCTCCTCTCCAGCAATTTAGTAAGACTTGTATCACTAAATCATTATCTCCAAAAAAAAAACCTCTTACAATTTAAAAAGATATTTTCTGGCTTTAAATAACCTGCAAAGAAGAAAACAAATTGACCACTCAATCAATTGATAGATTTTTCGATGATCATATTTTCACTTTCTGAACCTGACTCTAGTTGTGAGTGGGGAGACATAATCTAGCTGAGACAGACAGGCACGAACATGATTGGGCTGAGGCAGAGAAAGAGAGAATTCAGACAGGCTGAGAGAAACTCATGAAAAAAATCCACGATAAAAAGAAATACATTAGTAATCCATTCATAAAAAATTGATTTATCGATAAACACATAATTGATCAATAAATATTTCCAATATATAAGGTTGCTGTTTGTTATAAAATAATGTCTCATATTAGATATCAGCTTGATTGATTGATTAACAAACTGTTGAGAGAAATGATTGCTTGGCAAACTGTTATATCTTGTCAGGATAAACAGATATTAAAACAATAAAATGGTAAATTTTATACAGAACCATTTATTTTGGAGATAATGATTTACTGCTACAAGTCCTACTAATTAACCCATAGCTGGGGGAAAAGAGGTGGATTCATACCTTCCTCAATGGTATTTGTATGTATGTGAATATAACTAACCCAATTGGAATTCACCTTGCTGATTTCCAATTCCGAGCTGTTATCCATTATACGATCTGCATATCCATCTGGTATTCCCAAACAGTCACTCATGTAGGTACTGTCTAAACTCAACGTTGCTTAACTTCAGTGATTGTGTGAAAACCAGTGTTTCAATGTGATATGGCTGGTAGTTCCCAATGGATGTAGTGTCAAAATAATGGAAAAATTGTGAAAATTTAATGAACAATTTTTTGACAAATAGCAGCTTCCATGGTTTGGGGGCAAAGTGGATTCTCTTTGTAAATTGAATGTATAATTGATTGTACTCATGCTGAAACAATTTACAAGGATTGACAATTAACACACATACACACACTCTTGTTTCTTGTTTTAATTTACTTTATTCTTTTATATATCTATAGCTGAGTTGGTATCAAATATGGATCAGAATCTGACAGAATGATAAGAAAAAGAACAAATAGGAAACGTTTATTAATCTAACCTGTTTCACTTTTATTAAAGCTTCATCAGAGAATGAGATATGGAGAAAAAGAAGAAAGAAATTTTGGTATTTTTACTTTTGTTGTTGTATCCTTAAAGAGGTTGCAAACAGTCAAAGGTGGTACTCAAGTGAAGGAACAGCAACACGCGTGTAGATGAAAGAAGAGAGGTTTATTGTAAAAGAGAATACACTACTGAAAGACAGGAAATCTGGTGGCAGGCTAGTAATTCCTGAAGCAAGCCCCCAGGTATATCCTGTGCTCACTATATATAGCTACTGATATAGTCACTCCACATAGGCGATAGGGAGTGTGGGACATTCCATTACACCACTAAGCTAATTTTCCAATGAAATTTTGCTCAATACCTCTTCTTCAGGCACCCTTTGAGGCACAGTGGAGTAATAGATAGTGGCTCAGATTGAGGAATTGGAGATCTGAGTTCAAATTCCAGTCGAATCCATTGCATTCACTTATGTGCGAATACCCTTGGGAAAGGTATGAATCCTCTTCCACCCCCACCCCCCCGGTGTGGCTATAGGGAAAATAGCATGACAGACCAGGTTCTAGAGCCTTGGATGGCAACTGATCTACCACAGAAAGAAATGGCAACCTACTGCAGAAAAAAAATCTGCCTAGTCAGTCATGTATCAAAAGATACATGATTGCTTAAGTGTGTATCATACATGTCGCATAACTGACTAACTTAATCCTTTGAACCCTGACCACTGCTTTACTGGCGGTAGAGAAAAATGACGTAATTTGCATGCCAAGCTACTGGTTGAACAGTGGCTAAAGACTTGTAACTATTTTTATATTTACCATGAAACATTATATACCAATTATTTGCAAATTTTGACTCAATAGCTCAGGCAAAAAGATTAAAATTGTTCAGGAATGCAGGGCTCAAAGGTTAAAAGGGTTAAAATATCAAATAACAAAATCTTTATTTAGATATGGAAGCCATGTGCTTGGTGTTTCTAGCTTTTTAAAAATAAAGATTTTTTTTTTTTTTTTTAAAATTTAAAAATAATTTATAAATTACTCTTCTGTTAACTTGGGGTGCACCTGGCTACCTTTCAGCAGATTTCACAATGTTTCTCAACCAGTGCACCCAGGTGCATGCACCTGGGTGCACTGGCTGAGAAACATTGCTCCAACTGATTGTGAAATCTGCTGCTTTTACAATATAAACTCCTAGTCAACACCTCTAAATATCTCTCTTGTATATGAGAGACAGTGAGGTGTTGTGTACAATATTGTGCAAAAGTCACTGACTATTACAAATCCCTGTACATTTCTTGTAACTACCACTTAATAATGAAATAATCGCTCTTACTCATTTTGCTGGTGAGATAATTATGTCTGATGATGTATTTTGCTAAATTCTTACTAGTGAACTAAATGAAATATCTTCTTTTTTTTTATATGGATACTAGTATAAAAAAATTCTTGGTCCAACAAAGAAGTCAAAAACAAAATTTGTATAATTGGTCATTTGATTGAATATTAGGAAGTAAGTGGGCCAGGAATTTTTCAGCACCTACTTCATATAGGTACAGGGTGTGTGTTGTGGAGTGATTTCACAGTGGAGGCTTGTATTTGTACTAAGTCTGTCCTAAATAGGTTCGATGTACAAAACGTTAGGAACTTCATATAATAGGTATGGCGCAGAGTAAATCTAGTTGTGGTCGCTGATACTTTAGTATCCAACTAATGGTCGTCCGGCATCGACTGACTGACCGAACCACTGAGCGACTGACTTGTTACTCTTACTACTCCTACTTATTATAGGTGGGAGAGTCTATTAACTATAGAATAGGTGTGTTCCACTATAACAGTGTGGTAAAAGTAATGCCCTTTTTTTTTTACATATATTAACATTTATTGAATAAAAATAAAATACAATAGTTTAAAATGGCTTAAGATTAACTATAGTTTTTGCATTTGGGAATATTTGAATTTAAATTTTGAGCTGAGGTTGATAGGATGACATGGAGCAATTGAGTGGTCATCATGATCAGCAGAGATCTAACACCACCAGACTTTTTTCTGTGGAATGGACTGGAAGATCTTGTTTACAAGCTCAAACAATTCTTGAATTAAAACAAGCAATTTCTGATAAATTTTCTGAAATTAATGTAGAAATGTGTCAAATGCTTTGTAGAAGTGTTGCTGATGGGGTACAGTATTGTATTGAACCTGGGGGAGCATTTGAAACATGTTAATTAGTTTTTTAATGATAACAAATCATGTTGTTCTGATGTGACAATACTTATAAATTTTCTTAATGTAATTTATTTTTGTTCAATAAAGGTTAAATTAAGAAAATGGATGTTACTTTTTCCACAACATGCAGAAAGTTTACAAGGGATAGATCTTTCCCTCTCTTTTTTTTTCTCCCTTATACAGGGTGTCCATAAAGTTTGTGTGCACTTTAAAACATTTATAACTCTATTTGTATTTGCGATAGAAATTATCTGTAAAAAATGTTATAAACTTTAATGTACCTAGTTTTAAATATAGCTAAAATAACTAATGTGATTTCAGTCATTACTGTACATCAGTTGACAAATGTTTTCCATGAACTGCAAAATCGTATTACACTTTGTATTGCTAATGATGGAGGACATGTGGAAACTTAAATAAAATTTCAATAAAACCTTAAAAAATATAGATTTACTTTTTTCTAATCCTTTTTACAAATTATTTTTATCGCAAATACAAATAAAGTTATAAATTTTTAAAGTGCACACGAACTTTATGGACACCCTGTATAAGTTTTCTAAATCCTTTTTATAACTTTTAATAATGATACCGTTTGTAAGGAAACAAAGATGAAACCATTAGCTTTTTTCTTTTTCTCATTTGACTGTCAAATTAAGAAGTTATTTCTGTGAAGCAACCAACATAAAAAAAAAGAAAATTCAGAGGGGTTACATTTCTCACTATAAGTTTAGTTTAATGTTTATTTGGCACATTTTTCCTTCTATTTATTTTAATTCTTGCAATTCAGCTCTGTAATTTAATCTGCTTTTGCTGTATGATCAAATGCCAATTTTTCAACTCCAAAATTGATTAAAATGACGTAATATTTTTGCAGAAAAAAAATAATTACTAAAATATTCAGTAAACCCTTCCCTTTTCGTTTCAGTTTTGAACAGATTAAATACTTATATTTTCATCAAAATGTGCTCCAATAAGTCTACCACTTGACAAGTGAATTTTGGTCAATGTGATTAATGGAGATATGTTGATGAAGAAAGAGATTATGTTGAAAAATATTTGTAAAATAAATGCTTTTTCCGTCATCACATTTATTTTTACTTTTAACTGAATGTGTGGATTGTTTTATGTATGAATCTAGAGTTACAGCAATGTTTTATTTTCCAAACATGGGCAGCACATTGGTTGTGTTCATAGTTAATATTATTGAGGGTTAGCTTTTTTACTTTTTAAAAGTAAAAATAAAATCATCTTTGATAATAGCTAAAAGTATAATCGAAAGCATTCAGACAAAGAAAACATTTGAATAATTTCTACATAATTTATGTCCAGAAAAGAAGAAAATTATAAGAACACAAGCAAAATTAAATAAATAAAAAAAAAAAAAACTTCACTGGAGTATCTTGTCAGTTGTTTTTAAAAAGAAAAAGAGGGATTAAGATTTCTCAAATATTCAGGCTAGTGGATGGAAATAAATAAATAAAAATGGAGCATCTACTCAAATCTGGGTATCCATTAAAAATAATGTTTAAGCAATAAATTAAAATATATTTAATTAATACAAGTAAAAGGTTTTGTCATTTAGCTGATTCATTCTACCTTCAGCATCCTGACTCCAGAGTTTTGTAGACAGACACTCTGAGAACAACTCCATCCACTCGTCAGAGAATATCAGCAATTGACTGCTTATACTTCTCAATTTTTCTTTTTCATATGCACTTGGTGGAAGGTTTTTTTGTTTCTTTTCATTGTGTGTGTGCCTGCCTGCACATATATGTAGAATGTTCTTGTTATTTATTCTTTTTGTTTTTTTTTCACTTTACATTCACTCGTTAACCTTTTCTCTATTTTTCCTTTTTTCTTCCAATTGTAGTCATTTTGACTTCCGGTTTTCTAGACATATACTGTTGTTAAAGGGAGAGCTAAAAAGAGGTGCCTAACCTTCTCAAAATTAGTATGACAATGGCCAAACATCTGAATACTGTTTTTGGAAAGTGACTCACTGAAAACTTTTACTCCCCACCACTCTCTTTCTCGTGTAAGAGACCTAGTGTCATAGTTGTCAGGCAGAGACTAACTTCTCCCTGGGTTCTGTCCTATTGCCAGACAACCTGAAAAATATACCTTGTTTCTGTTTTGCCATGTTTGATAGAAAAGAATGGCTAACCAAACACTTGGGTAACCACAATTGTTCCTGTCTGTAATTATCATTCCCATAATGGTAATTTTCTTGCTATTGAAGATACCCCAGCTGAATTTTAACTTGTAAAATATTGAAAAAAAAGGAAAAGATTAAATATAAGATTAAGCAAAATAAAATGTAATGTTAATTTCAGATGATGTGAGATAAATTTTCAAAACTTCTTTAAAAAAATAAATAAATAAAAGCATTTTCAGTGCCAGGAAATGCACTAAGTCTATATGTTCCGGAAAGGGATATATTTGTTCGAAGTAGCAAAGTGATGGTTGACTACTGTAACCAAGTAGGACAATCTAGCAGGTAACCGTAATGGACTGGTCCTTGTTGTAGTGGTAGGCAATAGGCATAGTCAATAGGCGTCCTCCTGTACTTCCACATCAGTCTGCATTTATGACTGACACTAGCCAATCATATCATTGTGAGGGGGAACCCAGGTGTATGCATATTCATTACATCAGTGTATCATAAATATATTACCATTTTTAAAAAGTGTGCATGTACATGTATAACTTAATCACATTACAAATAAGTTTGCTAACCTAATCACTCACTCAAGTCCTGTAGACTCTCTGAGGCGTATAAAGCTACAACTATGAAGAATACAGGACCGAATTATCATTCCTTTTATGTTTAATTTGGGCAGCTTCTTCCCAAGAACTGCTACTTTGCAGAACAAACTCTCAAGAGGGTGCTTTCCCAATCACTACAATCTTGACCTCTTCAAGTCTAGGGTCAACATTATTGGCAAATGCTCTGACAAGCTACATCCATTAGTCCAGATTTTTACAGCTAAGACCTCTTATGCCAAGTTCACTGGGGACAAATCATCCCCATTCTCTTAATAAAAAGGAAATTCCATACAGACAACTTCTTCCAAAGAACCGCTACTTTGTGACAAACTCCCAAGAGGATGCTTACCCAATCTCTATTTTGTGATGTCAATGTACACCCATTGCCACTTCATTGATGTCAACGAATACTTTTTGTAGTACAGACTTTGTAATCACCAATATAACTATAGTACATCGTTGAACAATACTAGTGTCAGAAACCTTCGAATAGCACTCTTTCTAATAGTACTTGCTTGATGATACTCACTTGACAAGTAACCTGTATAGTGATCTGAATAGAGAAATAGTATAGTAAATAGAGTAGGGAATAATGGTCGGTATAGTAATAGAGGATAGAATAGAAGTAACAATCCTATAGATGTCACATGACTTCCTACTTATGCGTTTCCTCTATGGTCACATGGTCTACTTAATTCAATAATGGGATCACCTGTGTTTGCTCACTGACCATCTATGTTCAAACTCGAGTGTCGGCGGTGACACTTTATTCCAAAATAACACTCTACAATCTTGACCTCTTCAAGTTTAAAGTTAATCATTCTTTTTTCCTCCTAATTTTCACTTTTCATTTTTCTCCTCCTTAAATTTACAGAAACTCATTCAGTACCCTTCTACCATGAGTGGCACTTGGGCCTTTTATTGGGTGAACATTTATTAAGAAGAAAAATATATTCAGTATATCAATTAAAGCAATAGTTTTATAAATCTTGACTGAAATCAGAAATTGTTTCATAACTATTATTTTCAAGTTGGATTATGAAACAGTTTCTGGTTTCATTTTTCAGTTAGATTTCTAAAACAATTTTGTTTATCTTATTTACATTATTTGGACTATTGTCACCATATTTATTTATTTATTTGTCGCCATATTTATTACAACGTTTTGGACGTTCTACACTCGGCCTTGTTCATGTGGTTGGAATGTCAAACTGAACACTTTATTTCGCTCACTGGGGTAGACTGTTCTAGTTCCACGTGTCATGTTTAATGGATGTCACTTATCAATTATCTCCTGTTAATTTCCCTCTGAACGTTCTCCACTGCCTTGACCAGGTATTGAACTCACACTCTTTGGGTCCTGTCACTGGATCTAACTAACGCCTTTATCCACTGTGCCATGTGTCCTTGAGGGATCAGTTCGACATTCCAACCACCTGAAGAAGGCTGGAGCATACTCCGGCCGAAACATTGTAATAAATATGGCGACAGAGATGAGGACAATAGTCTGAATAATGTAAATAATGTACATAATACCTCATCTCAGAAATATAGACAGATACTGAATTTTGTTTATCTTTTTATAAAACGTTGACCGAGGTAGATAAGTGTGCAATTTTTAGAAAGTTCTGTTTTGTGTCTGATGAATTTATCAGCAGGAGCCATGGAAAAATATTTAGCCAATTTTAAAACCAGATATAATTTACAGACATAGTGAAGACATGGTAAAGACTATAAGAACAGTTGAGGAAATGATGAATTGTAGATTAAAAAAAAAAATCTCAGATAAACTCTGAAGTTAAATAATTGGCACAACTTATAGCCAGTATAATCTGTGTTTGCCAAATTCTTTATTTTTATTAAACTAATTTGCTTATAAAAATAAGTATTTAATAGGAATTTCAGTATTTTTCTCTTAGTTTCTTTCATTTTTAGTACTCTGCATTATTCAGTATGTTACTTCCTTTTCTACTGTATCCCTTTTCAAGGCTCAACTGCAGGAGTTGAGTACTTGATTTTAGTCAAGCTCATTTTCTGTTGCCATAGTAGGATATGACAACACAACTGTAAAATTCACTATACCATTCAGCAGTGACATATAATGGTAGGACAAAAGGTTTTTGCTTGGTAAACAGTCACCTCAAGAGTCCTAATAGGTAACAAACCAGTTAAATTGGTACCCCACACACAATTAAGTTTGCTTTAACAGTTTAATCTTGCCTTAAGCCAATAATATAATATTTATGTCTTGTCCTCATTGACCCTCATGGATTTGAGAGATTATGATGGGATGAATTATTAGTAAAAATGTTAAAAATTGCTCTAGATTGAGAAAAATACCCTCTTAGAACTTTTGTGTTTGATCATCACTTGTATATAGAGAATTTTATATTTCTGGATAATTTCACATTTGTATTCCAAATAAATCATTTTTTTAACAAGAAACCATTCCTATATATTCCTTTCTTTTTTCTTCTTTCTTTCTTCTTTCTTTTTTCTTCTTTCTTTCTTCTTTCTTTTTTCTTTTTTTTTTTTCTTCTTTCTTTTTTCTTTCTTTCTTTCTTCTTTCTTCTTTCTTTTTTCTTTCTTTCTTTTTTTCTTTTTTCTTTTTCTTTTTCTTTCTTCTTTCTTTCTTTCTTTCTTTCTTTTTTCTTCTTTCTTTCTTTTTTCTTCTTTCTTTCTTTCTTTCTTTCTTTCTTCTTTCTTCTTTTTTTCTTCTTTCTTTCTTCTTTCTTTTTTCTTCTTTCTTCTTTCTTTCTTCTTTCTTCTTTCTTCTTTCTTTCTTCTTTCTTTCTTCTTTCTTTCTTTCTTCTTTCTTTTTTCTTTTTCTTTTTTTTCTTTCTTTCTTTTTTTCTTCTTTCTTTTTTCTTCTTTCTTTCTTCTTCTTTCTTCTTTCGTTCTTTCTTTTTTCTTTTTATTTCTTTTTCTTCTTTTTTATTACTTTTCTTTTTTCTTTTATTTCTTCTTTTATTTTTTCTTTCTTTCTTTCTTTCTTTCTTTCTTTCTTTTCCTTTCCTTTCCTTTGGTTTTTGTTTATTTTGAAAACCTTATCAACATATTATCATGAAGATGACTTTACAAGAAATAACAGTTGACATTTTTTTTTTAGTTTTTGCTTGATGACAGATATTCACAGGTTGTAGATCAACTTTTCTACTATGCCTGTTTTTATCCATGTGTCCTTTGTACAGTTGTTTGAAAAGGACTTTTTTTTCTCTTCCTGCCTCTCATCATGAGAAACTCTCTTTCGACAAAAGTTAGATATTTATCTTACTATTTTGTTTCACTGTTTTAGTTGCAGTCAGTCTCCATCCTAGCCCAGTGATTTATGCATGAAATAAATCATTTTTCATGCCAGGATTTTCCCATTATGAATGACATTATCTCAGAATTTTTGTACTGTTTCTCTCTGACTAGAAGAAAAAACATTGTATAGGTTTGTTGTTCAAAAGAGTAGAGAAAAGACATTGTGCAATAAAATTGTCAATGTTTTGTAGATAATTTCTGATTGACTTTCTTACATAATGAATTATCATTTTCATTTATTTTTGATTTATTCAAACAGTTATCCTCATCTTGATAGTTATAGTTACAACATTTTAGCTGTTGTAGGCTCTAAACTTTTTATTGTATTCAGTAAGATTCTTGGGATTTTGAACCAAACATTTTATTCAATTCACCCTGGAATGGGAACAGTTTACCCCTATACCTATCAAAATTTGCTGTATTTAGAGAGGGAGAATGCTCAATATCAGAGACAGAGCATCTATATTAGGGAGCTTAAAGAAAGAACAGTGATATATGGTCTGATGATCACTTAAGGTGTGTAACTAACAGTCTTCATGAAATTTTGGTTTCTGTATTCACATTATCTCTCTCATGGTGGTTGCCAACTTGTGTCCAAGTACGACCATTAGTACTTATCTTTTTGGTAAATATCTACAGATGTGCTGAATGAATGTGGCTCTCTAGCCCACCAAAGGGCCCTACATACTCTAGGACAAACAGGACACTTAAGAGGTCCAACAACAGGTGTTACATTGAGTAACAGCATTCCTGTTGAGCTTCCTGAAGACACCCGCAGGCAAATCAATATATACAATACATACATATAGACAAATGATGTCTATTTATTTTATGTAAATTCTTTTCATAACGTCTGATAAGCTTAATAACATTACCATTAAATGAAGAAAGAAAATCACAATATTGATACATAATTTTAATCCAATCTAAGTTTTCAGTTTACATAAGCCATTATTAAAATGACAATTACTGTACAATATATTAAGCAATACACAGACAAGAATATATAGAGATATAGATGTGTGTGTGTGTGTGTGTGTGTATATATATATATATAGACAGAGAGATAGATATATAGATATAGACAGATATATATATATATATATATATAGAGAGAGATATATATGTGTATATATATATATATATATATATATATAGATAGATAGAGACAGATAGATATATAGATATAGACAGATATATAGAATATATATATATAGACAGATATATAGATATATATATATATAGAGAAAGATATATATATATACAGATATATATATATATATATATATATATATATATATATATAGATAGATAGATGGTAGTTGCCAACTCGTGTCCAAGTATGGCTATTCCTACACATCTTTTTGGGGAATATCTACTGATGTGCTGAATGAATGTGGCTCTTTAGCTCACCAAGGGGCCCTACATACTCTGGCACAGGCAGGGCACTTAAGAGGTGCAACAGCGAGTGTTACATTATCATGCAAGTTAAAATGTTGCATGAAACCACTTCTGGACTCGCACGTCTTACCCCAAATATCACATTTCAGGTGCTGTACATCTACGGCTTTGTAGTCAATTGCCACCTGACACTGGTGCACTCTCAAGTGACTCCATAAACCAGCCATCGACAAACACACTCTACCACAATCTGTACACATCAGATCAAGCTTCCTACGAGTGTCTTCAGGAAGTTCAATGGGTGACACCTTTATGCACATCTCTTTTAATCCTTACATGCCTCCTAATCTCTTCCTCAAAGTGACACCTTCCAATCCAAGCAGCCTTATTCTAATTATTGAAATCAGATACACATTCTTCCCAGTGCTTATAAGGAAAGTTGCATTTCTTCAGTGCATCCTTGATGCAGTCCTCAAAGTGCATATATATATATATATATATATTTTAAGACATTTTTATGTTTATATATTCTTTTTATAGATACAAATGTTTAAGTAAATGCTCTGTTTATAATAAGCTGTATTAAACAACATTTACTGGCCTGAATGTCAGATATTTTCACAGAAAATATTCATCCTCCAACAGGATTCGAACCTGTATCCTATACAGAACAGTCATTTAACTTGATGTGCCTTTAACCGATTTGGCCACAGAGGAGCGTTCAGTTAGCAAGGTTGAATTTCCTGTATAAATATACATCCCTAGTCCTGTAACTTAGAGTTGTAGGGGCACAACATGTACTGCAGCTGTAGTAGAAGTGGTGTGTCTTGGGCAAGATAGCCTGACAGAGCTCAACCCTCTCCAGGCTTGTTTGAATTCTGAGTATTCTTTCTCCTTGGATGGTTGCCACCCAACGCTATCGAACCCAATCTGTCCTGCTATTTACCCATAGCTGGGTGGAGGGAGAAAAAATGGATTTATACCTTTCCCAAGGGTATTATTAGCATGTAAGTGAATGTAATGAACTCTACTGGTATTCAAACTCGACTCTTCAATTTCTCAATCTGAGCAGCAATCTATTACTCCACCATGCCTTATATATATATATATATATATATATATATATAAAAATAAAAAGAATGAACAGTAAGATATATAATCCGGTGTGCCTTTAAAACCCAGTAATAAATAAGTTACTTCAAAATTCACTTGAGGATGAAATGGAACTAATGTCTTTAATTTAATTACAAAATTAAATTCAAGCTTTTAGCTTCCATTTTTGAAACATGGTTAGAACTGTAGAAAGAAAACCCATATTTTAAATCAATTAATTTATAATATATATATATATATATATATATATATATATATATATATATATATATATATGTGATGGGCTCCCCTATCAATTTTGACATATTAGGATCTGACAACATCATTCAGTTTTTATGTTTGTGTCATATATGACACTTCATATTGTGCAACAGCATTGATCTTGAGACATAGCAACAGGAATATTTGCTAATGCTTTTCACCATTGTCTTTCATCTCTTAGCTGGTCAATACGACTTTTTTCAAAATGTCTGATACCACTTTGGCACACTTATCTCCAATTATTTCTATCCAGGGCAAATCGCTTGAAATTAGTCTGAGACACATTGACACCTGAGAGGTTACTCTTTAGTTTGTCTTTATACCTGAACCATGACTTTCCAACAGTCCTTTGTCCACTGTGAAGCTGGCTATACATGACGACCTTAGATATTCTGTTATCACTCATCCATGCAACGGGATTAGCCCCATGTTGTTGCGACTGCATCAGGAAAATTACATATGTATATATGATAAATTGTGATATATAAAATATTAGCTATTAAAAAAAAAATAATGTTTTAAAAGTACAGTATATACTCACATATCATGTGATCTTTGAAAACCTAACTTTGAAGCTAATTTGGTTACAGTATATGGATATATAGTTTGGTCAACATTGTAGCCTGGGCCAGCAATACATATGCTTATTTTATATCTCATGTATGATGCTACCTCCTTAAAATCAGCTTTAAAATTAGGTCTTCAGAAGTCATATATACATTTTTTCCTTAATGCGTTTATAACTTTTTTTATTTTTTGAGCATGACAACATGGAAATGAAATTATGGAATGGAAAACCATGGATTGGTGGTGGAGAGGAAAGAAAAATAGTTTTAATTTTAGTTTAATTATCAGTGAAGGCAAAGAATTTTAATCACTGTCACTTTCTTTCTGTGCAAACAATAAAATTAACTTTTGAATAAATTTTAGTCAAATGCAAATGTCTTCACTACTCAAAAAATATTCAGCTACTTCCTCTTTAGATACAAGGTTTGCTAAATGTCTTTCAAGGCAAACAAAAAAAAAAATGATCATTTATTGACAAGTCATCAAGATATGGATATCATCAAAGGAAATTTAATCCCTTGATTGGGAATATTAACCAAGCTTGTGATCAGCAAGAATACAATTATAGAGCATGAAGTAAGAATTGAACTTGCTATCAATTGCTTTTGAGATAAAAACTGCTCACACAGAAGTTGCTTTTAATCCTTCTATTTTTTTTAGATTTATTTTGATTCTATTTCTCTCATTGCAGTATTCAGGGTTTTATATATATATATATATATATATATATATATATATATATATATATATATATATATATATGGCACATGACCAAGTGGTTAGAACATTTGCATTCTGACCATTAGACCAGGGTTCGAATCACACCATGGTTGAGTTGTCAGGAAGAAGACTTCTCAATGATTTCAGATTAGAGCGGTTGATCCATTTGGAAAGTGACTGAAAACCGCACCATGGGTTGACTCAAGCCTTGTGAGTGAAATTGGGTAGACGGAACCCTCGGCCACCATCACTAGCTGTGCTAGCACAAAGTCACAAGTCATCGTGGCTGAGGGCTTGAGCATGCTGGCCTTGTTCAAATTATTGATCTGGCTAGATAACGTGCTTTCTCTTCCAGAAACTGTAATTAAGATCGGCTCAGCATAGTTGCAGTATAAACCACAGGTGGATTCTATGGGTGTTGAGTAAAAACAAATGTGCCTGCAATAGGGATTTTATTGCTCTAGTATTTCTATTCTAGACGGGCCAGCTATATATATATATATATATATATATATATATATATATATATATATATATATATATATATATATATAATATAACTTATAAAACAGTTATTGGTCAGAGTTGAATTAGACCAAGAAACAATTGTATTAAAAATGTAGTTTGATTGGCTGATCTAATTTTTTTAATATATATATATATATATATATATA